ACCTCGAAGTTTCGGATATGGGAAGCGATTCGGAGCACGATATTGACTAGTAGAGAGTGAAACAGAGGAAATTGAGGGAGCGTAAATCGAATGGGCGAAAACGAAAACGAAAACGGAAGAACAGAAAAGAAGGTGGAATGAGCAATACAAACCGTTTGAATTTGAACTGAGGGGTATAATGGTCATTAAATTAACGGCCGTGGTACTCTTTTTCATGGCCGTGGTCAAGCAAACAATTTAAACACGGTCCAACCTAGCCCATTAGTTGTCTTTCATGAATACCACCGCCGTGGTACTAGTTTTCACGGCCGTGGTCAAGCATTCATTTTAACCACGGTCCAACCTAGCCCATTAGTTGTCTTTCATGAATACCACCGCCGTGGTACTAGTTTTCACGGCCGTGGTCAAGCATTCATTTTAACCACGGTCCAACCTAGCCCATTAGTTGCCTTTCATGAACACCACGGCCGGGGTCCTATAGTTCACGGTCGTGGTGAAGCAAAAAATTTGTGTTCCTCTTCTACTAACCAAGGTCAAACTAACAATAACCACGGTCAAAACTACGGTCGAACCTGCCCATTAATTTCCTTTCGTGTTAATTCGTTTGCGACTTCACTTGCATTCCAGATTGAGGCTAAAATAGTAATTTAATCCTTCAACATTCTATTCAAAATATTAAATTTGGCCAGTTGAGTTAAATTTTTTAATTGAGGTCAGTTGAGCAAACAACAAACTTTTTAGGTTATCTACGTCAATTTCCCAGTATTTTCATAATAGGCACTTGGATTAAAAGCACTAAGTGCTTGTGATGTTTTCCAAAAGTCCTTCTAAATTCTATGTTGTGAAAAATTACTTTTTTTTATATATGTTAGAAGGCAATTTCTGTTATATTCCTTTAGTACTAAACTAACCAAATAGCAATCCAGCATCCAAATTCAAGTTTATTTCATGAACAATACGAAAAAGGAAACTAACAAAATTTAGGGAAATTTCGTCTCCAACAATCCCCATACAAAATTTTCTCTTTTCTCATGTTCGAGAGAGCTTAGAAAAGTGCAATCTATATATGCATGACACCCAAATAACATTATTATTTTGAGTAATCACCTCGAGTTTATTTTCTTAAAGATAAAAAAAAGGAAATTTAAGACCTTATAATAATAAGGTAATTAAAACATGAAATTAGCATAGTCCAAAAGGAATTTAAGGATCATAGAGAATTTCTACCATAATCTTCGTCTCCATTTCTCTTTTCTCATGTTGAGGAAAGTGCAATATTCTCTTTTAAAAAAGATCCAACCTCTATACAATGACATCCAAATAACATTATTATTTTGAGTAACCAACTCGAGTTTATTTTCTTAATGATACAAAAAAAGGAAATGCGAGACTTATAATTCGGTAAAACATGAAATTGGGATGGTCCAAAAGAAATTTAGGGATCATATAGAATTTCTCTCATAATCTTCATACTCGTTTGTCTCTTTTTCTCACGTTGAGAGAGCTTCGCGAAGTGCAATCTCTTTTAAGGAGGCCTCCTAGGAGTCCGACCTCCATTATGACCTTGAGGCGGAGCATCTTCTAGATTTGATTTCACCTCGTTCGATCCTTTAATGATCTCATTCGGAATTTTAAAGGACATAGTTTTCTCACCTTAGATTTCCAAATCAGACATATATTCAATTTCAAAACACAAATCGAAGAGCATAAATTTGACAAAATTGAAAGTTTAGAGATTTTATTACCGGTATTAGTTAGAATCCATGGATTTGTTCTTGCTGTTGCCATGCTGCATTGCAAAATAAGCATGAGTAATAAGAGAACCTCAAAAATTATTGAATGCTGTTTGGAACCCATTTTTCTTTTGCTTCAACTTAATCTTTGAGGGTTTTGTCTAAGTATATATATATAGAGCCAGTATATATCATTTTCCAAAGAAATAATTATATCATTAAATATCTATTGGTGGATATTCTGAGAAAAATGGTGAGAATTATACAAAAAAATTATATAAACTTTTTAAACTACAAAAATTTTAAAAAATAAAATAAAAATTAACGCCTCCAATACACATTATATATCATCCTTCTTAGTAGTAGTTATATTGTTGTTTTTTATATTTTTCTGACCTTTCTAAAATTTGAACAATGTATTTTTATTTTTTTTATTATCATAATTATTCCTCGATACGTAATTTATGGGAATGAATTTGAGATAAAAAAAAATATATTTTGACCTAACTATTATGATATTTGTATCGTCTCTTTTCAAAGTTGGAGATTCAAATATTCACTCCTTATTTGTGATGTAATAATCTAAAAGAAAATGCAAAGATGATTATAACAAAAAATCATAAATATATATAGTGAAAAGATTCGGAATGAGTGGGAGTTGCTGCTCAAGTTGACCTATTGTTGTTGACCGCACACTACTAGACAATAGAAGAGTAATAAGAGAATATGTTGAATTATTGGAGTGTTGTTTGATCTACCATGAAGCTTTTCCATAAATAAGTGTTACACTCATGTTTAGTCGAGGTTAATGACAAGTATTTCAGATAAAACATAACTAAAAATTTAGGAAATGATCTATATTTTTAAAAAATTCAAAGATAAAATAGAAAAATATTGAATACAATATATAATACAATATTAAAATATTTGTATTTCTCCTTAAAAATCGGAAGTTCAAAGTCTCACTTCCTTATTTGTGATATAATATTTTAAAAGAAAATAAAAACATGATGACAATCAGAAGTCACAGATATATAATGAAGATTCGAAATGAGTGGAGTTGGTATGAAGTTGACCTATAACTGTTGATGACACACTACTACGACAAGAGAAGAGTAATACGGAAATCTATTGAATTATTAGAGTGTTCTTTGATGCTTTCTTTACCTTTCTTTTTTATAGCATAATATCCACAATGAGGCTAAGTCACACTCATTTTTGTCTATGGATGCTAATGACAAGTACTTAAAATAAATAGAATGGAAAATTTAGGAAAATAATTTAAATTTTAAAAAGTTCAAAGATAAGATAGGAAAAACAATGCTCAAAGTACATGGACAAAATATATAATTTAACCTATTAGTCAATGACTTTTTATTGATGTCCATTCAATTCACGAGTAAGATAAGTTAATTACTCAGTCAAAAATAACGATAACAATAAGAGAAGTTAATTATTGAATTATTTTTTTATTACAATAATTATTGACCAAGAGTGTCATTCTATGGTCATATTTTCAATCTTTCCCCCTAACTAGAAAACCAATTGACCATATTAAATTTGATAATCTTTTAGATAAGCATACTATAATTAAAGTCTTGAAAAGAAATTAAAATAACTTAAAATTCAAAGATAAAAGTAGAAATCATGCTCAAATGTAAAAAGTGAATAGACAAAATATATTATATGTAACCTATTATTTATTGAATTTTTATTAATGTACATATATTTTAATTTAGTTGTTGGAGATTTTTTTCTCCAAGTTGGCTTATTGTTGTCTTCTCATGCTACTAGACAAGAGAAGTAATATGATAACCTATTGAATTATTGAACATTTTTGTTTCATAGCCTCCTTCTTTTCTTTTTTTTCGTAACATTATCTCTTTGGTTTTGTATGAAATATATATAACTCTTAAGTTTTAAATATCAATGTCGGTATTTTTGGATCTCAAATTTATGGGGAGAAGAAAAAAGAGAAAAAAAAATTATATATATATATATATATATAGAGATTAAATCAGTATAGTGGATCCAAGATTTTAGGTTAGGGAGCACAAATGCATATAAATATAACGGAAAAATATCAATTTTAAACTTGAGCTTGACAATATGTATCAATTTGCATCGGATAAGTATTGTAATTTTCACTTGTATTACAAATTTTACCCTCGATAGATTTTATTTGAAAAATTGTTGAAAAAAATATTCTCGTGTGTCAAATAAGTTAGAAAATTTATATTTTTGGTATGAAATAATTGATAGGATTTAGACAAAATCAACAATAGAGTTGATTCTTGAGCTAAAATTTGTGTTTTGGGAAGGTTATTTAATGGTCAATTTGAGAAACTTGACTTCTTTCAAATAATGAGTTCATGTGGTTTTTTTTATTAAATAAAGTGATAAAATTATGATATTTATCTAAGTTTAGGGTTAGGAATTTAAATTTATTAAAAGAAATATAATATAAACTTAATTAGACATATTTTGTCTAAAAAAATCTAATTAGACATAAAAGTTAAAATTATTTATTTTAAATGAAAAAAATACATTTTTTGAAAATATATTTAGAAAACGAAAATAGACTGACATTTAAGCACTGAAACCAATGAGTCATGTACACTTTCTTGATTTTAATGTATATTAAATTATATTTAATATAAATTTCGGGATTAGTCCTAACATAGATCCCCCCTAAATTAAATGTTGATGGGGATGAATATATACTGAGGAGGGAGAAAATTATATAAATTAAGAAACTCATGAAAATATTAAAGTCAATATACATGATTCATACTTATAATTATTAGAAACATGTTTACATTAATAATTTTTTTGTTTGAGAATTATATAAAAACTTATATAAACTACTTAAACTACAAAAATTAAAAAAAAAAATTAACACCTCCAATACACATTATATATCATTTTTTTTAGTACAATGTGTGGGGTAGGAGATGGAACTCATAATCTCTTAGTTGGAGAGATATGTCAATTATTGTTGAACCTCTCTTTGGCCATTATATATCGTCCTTAGTAGTATTTATATTGTTGTTTTTTATATTTTTCTAACCTTTGAACAATGCATTTCTATTTTTTTATTATCATAATTATTCCACACTACCTAATTTATGGGAATGAATTTGAGATAAAAAGAAATTATTTTAGTTTTGACCTAAATATTATGATATTTGTATTGTCCCTTCTCAAAGTTGAAGATTCAAACCCCACTCCCTCATTTGTGATGTAATAATCTTAAAAAATATGTAAAGATGATTATAACCAGAAATCATAAATATATACATTAAAAAGATACGAAATGACTGGAGTTGCTGCTCAAATTGACCTGTTCACCTATTGTTCTTGATGGCACACTACTAAACAATAGAAGAGTAATAAGAGAATACGTTGAATTATTGGAGTATTGTTAGTTTTCTTTACATTTTTTTTTTTTGTCATAGCATAATATCTACATGAGGCTTTTCCATTTACACTCATATTCTGTCGGCCGATGTTAATGACAAGTACTTTAGATAAGACATAACTAAAAATTTAGGAAATGATCTAAATTTTTTAAAAATTCAAAGATAAAATAAAAAAATGTTCAACCAATCACAAATATACAGTGAAGATTCGAAATGAGTAGAGTTGGTATGAAGTTGATCTATAGTTGTTGATGGCACGCGACTACGATAAGAGAAGAGAGTAATACAAAAATCTATTGAATTATTGGATTTTTGTTTGATGCTTTGTTTACATTTCTTTTTCATACATAATATCTACCATGAGGCTAAGTCACTCATTTGTGTGGTCGATGTTAATGACAAGTACTTAAGATAAATACAATGAAAAGTTTAGAAAAATAATCTAAATTTTAAAAAATTCTAAAATAGAATAGGAAACAGTGCTCAAAGTATATGGAAAAAATATATAATTTAACCTATTATTTCATTGATGTCGATTAAATTCACGAGTAAGAGAACTTAATTAGTTCACCAAAAATAGGAATAAGAAAACTTAATTACTGAATTATTGATTAAGTGTGTCATTCTATGGCCATATTTCTAAATTTTCCCACTAACTAGAAAACCAATTGGTCCTATTAAATTTGATAATCTTTTAGATAAGCATACTATTAATTAAAGTCTTGGAAAGAAATTAAAATAATTTAAAATTCAAAGATAAAAGTAGAAATGATGCTCAAATTTAAACAGTGAATTGACAAAATATAATATATATAACATTATTTTATTGACTTTTTATTAATGTACATATATTTTGATTTAGTTGTTTGAGTTGCCCTTTTTTTCCTCCCCAGTTGGCTTATTGTTATTGAACATTTTGAAAAAATATCAATGGGTAAGTTTTGGCAGAATTATTTAACGATGAATTTGAGAAACTTGATTTTTTTTTTATTTTGAATACAAGATGTACTAATTATCACTTAACTATACTCGCTTTGACAAAAATATATTTCAAAAACAATAAAAATATATGAAAAATATATTTAGAAAACTAATAACAATAGTTTATGTAATTCGAACTTAGGCTAAGAATGTGGGACACGAACGCTTAATAAGTATGGAACCCAACAAGCTACATGCATTTTCTTTATTTTTGTGTATACTATATTACATTTAATATAAATTTAGGGGTACGTGCCTACGGTCCCAACATGGATCTGTCCCTGGATTAAAGGGTGAAAGGGATGAATATAGATCGTGGAGAAAACTATACAAATTAAGAAACTCATGAAAATATTTTAATTAATATATAAGATTTTCATACTTGATAATTATTAGAATCATGTTTACATTAATGTTTTGTTTTGTTTGATAATTTCTAATAATATAATTGAGTGTATAAGGCATGTATCTAGGATTTTTTTTTCTTTTTTTTGGGGTAAATAATCTAAATGTGGAGAGCTAAATAAAACATAACCCTAAAATTTTTTAAAATAAGTTTTATTTATTTTTATTTGATAGAGGTGTATTTTGAAGATGCAAAAGGATAAGTAGATTTTTTGCTCCATATATATATTTTTTCTCTCTTTTTTAGATCCTGCTTCTCCTTCTATGTTTGTTTCTTGCGAGTTAATTTTCCTTATTTCTAGCTCCTTGTTTTTCGTTTTTTTTAGCTATTTTTTCCCCTCTCTCTCTCTCTCTCTCTCTCTCTCTCTCTCTTTTTTTTTTTTAATTCTATCTATTTTCCCACTCTCGCTTCATTTCTCCCTTCTCGCTCTCGCTTCTCCCTTCCTATCGTCTGTTTCTCGCTCTTGCTCTTGTTTTGACTCGCTCCCTCTTTTAGCAACCACTATGTAACTAGACCAATGTGACAAAAAATAAACGGCCCTCTCTTTTGGTTTTCAAAATTATTTTTGTTTAACTTGAAATTAAATTTATAATTTAAAACATTTATTTGGGATTCAATAAGAATTTAAATAAATCATAGTAGTTACACAAATAACTTTAATAAAAAAAATTGAATTAAAAATAATAAAATTCTAGTGTGGAAGCATAAAATCTTTGGCACTGCTAGTAGGACATATGGTCACTATAATTACACATACATAGATGATAGCAAGATTCATAATGTAATAAAACTATGGACCTAAAACTTTTTTAAATAATAATATCTTAACTAAAGTGGGAAATTAACTCATCTCAAATTTTATTTGTCAATCAATGATGATACTAGATTGCGAGTCAAAGCCCGACTGGTGGCAATGGTATCCAGAGGAGCAAGGTCGCTTCCTACGTAGCCCTTACATGATCACATTAACTTTCATTGTCACTCACTGTTATGCTAACATTGATTTAGGACGAGAAACAACTTCAATTGATTGTAGTGGCACCCAATTAGTAGTGTTTGATTGCGGCCAACTGTAGTATTTCATTATCTCACTCGCTAACAATGACGGATGAGTGTAGCGCACGATCCAACTCTAATTGATGGGGGTATTACCCAAACAATAATGTAAGGCTACACCCATCCAAGCCCCTAAACACGATTTAACAAGAAATAGTGTATAATTACATATGTATTAAGTCCATCAATTCATATATATATATATATACTAAACAAACAAATAATAAAAGGATACCGCCTACGTTATTTAATGAATTTTCGTTGATTGGATAAGATGTTTGTGAAGGACAAGATTGAATTCTATCCTAAAGGGAATCAATTACTATTTATTAATTAATGGCTTTTCGTTGGTATAAATATAGTTCACCCCTCTAGAAATTGCAGCCAAGTGGTTCGAGAAAATTAATAAAAGAAGAACATATTAAATTATTGAAGATTGTTGTTTTGTTTTATACCCTTTTTCTTTTCTATTAACTAGCAAATTTGGTTGAATAACTATAGTAACAAATATCTACAATTTAAATATTATTTAATTAATTTATTGTAGGTAAAAAGAAATAAAGATTCTATGTAATAAGTTTTTGATATTCAATAACCCCAATCAAAAAAGAATGGCATAAATAAAATTTTTTATTTTTTTTAAGAAAAAAGCATTTGAATCATGGGCAACTGAAGAAAACATTTCCCCTTCTACAATGCGTGTAAGCCATAGGGAAAGTTGTGAGTCCAAAAAACAAGAAGAACGAGATTGTTCAATGAAATAGCAAATTTAAGACCGTTGAGGATGCATAATCGAATTAGTTCTATAGAAGTTTCGACGGGAGTTGTTTAACCCTACAATATACTGCCTCAAAGTTTATTTTCCTTTTAATAACACAAATCATGTCATCCACTTCAATTGGTTTTCTTTTAAAAAAGGCAACTACAGATTACAAATCCAGTCACAAAGGACTACGCTGGATAGATCTTCTCTTTTCCTCTTTTAGGAAGGTTAAAATTGGAACTTACAACTTACAACTCTTATACATCGAAAGGTCATTTTTCCACATTTAATTAATAATGCTGACAAATACTTACATTGATTTGATCCATATTTATAAATTTTCAATACAAATTTCACGTGGAATGAAAATCATTTAATACAAATTTATAACTATTCAAAAAAATTTAATGCACAGCGTAATGCTACAATTTTAATAGAAACAAATGAGATAAAAGGATAAAACTAAAGATACCAAAATTGTCACTTTTTAAAAGTATTAAGAACCAAAACGAATGTTTTGAAAGTACAAAGATTAAAATGAAGGAACCAAAATAGCCGTTTTGAAAGTACCAAGACTTGAATGAACCAAAACCGAAAGCACGTTAACCAAAATAGTATTTAAACTTATTTACAATCCATGAATTTAAATGCCTCTTCTAAATCATATCCAATACCTACTTAAATTATTAATATGCTACTAGTTTCTCGGCACTAAGTATATAATAGAATGAGTTGGCTGTCTCATGTATTTAAACTAATTAAGCCACTTTCTGAGTTATATTATATACTTGTGTCTGTATCCCCAAGAATAGATTTACATAATGCATAAACCTAAGATCAGAATAGAACAGAAAACACTATGAGATTCATTAATCATAATGCTTTCAGTGCATCTAACATGGTATAGTAGAGTCCAAGACTCTGATCTTCAGTTCAATACATAAATGGCTCTACTGTACATGACTAAATTATCAAGAACATTATTGAGACTCAATCTTTCAACTCTCTGCATATTCACTTTAAGCTTTATTTACTATTGTCGACATGAAAAATGTTTTTGCGTTCCAGATTCTACTTGCCTTAAATTGCCAATGATCACTTGTATTTTTGAAGATAATTCTTCTGTTTGCTCCTCCACCTTGGTGATGAAATTGAAAAGCTTTTCCCGATACGCTACGCATAGTTGCTCCTGATGCTCCAACTCCATTTTAAGCTCCTCGATCTTCTTATCTTTATCGCCCTGCAAGTACCGATGTCGATTCAATATACCAAGAAGAACTTCAAAGCTTTTAAATAAGTTTACATGTTAGAGACATACTTGCAACCACCAGACGAGCCCACATGGGACACAAAATGGAAAAAGGAACCAATTAAGCACAAAATCAGAGTTGGAGAACTGATTCTCTTTAATCGGTTCTTCAATTATTATGTTTATGTTAACAAATCAGCTACAATCATTCATTAATAAAACTACATTTTTAGATTAGGAACTTAGACATTTATCCAATCTCTGCTCTTCGTCTGCATCGCACATTTGATTTCTTTGGTCAGAAAATAGTTTAAGGAAAGAATAGAGATGAAGGAAGCATAGATACAAACACAAAACACGGATACGACACGACATGGACATGACACGAACATGTTTATTAAAATATACTATTTTTTTAAGTATATATCATTTTTATATGGGAATGAAGTCAATAAGCTTTATGCATTTTTATGCTTAAAAAAACAATTTGATGTATTTTACTCTCGAAATTTATTGTTTTGTCCTATATTATAATTTATGTCTATTTCTTAGGCTTAATAAGTATTCGATACGTGCCTAATAAGTGTCGAATCTATATTTACTTTGTACAACTAGTGTGTGAAACACATCTATTTAGCTAACAAGTGTCTGATATGTGTCTGTTAAATGTCAGACTATCTAACACAGACACGTTACCAAACTGAAGTGTATGTGCTTCTTAGCTCAGAATCATACCTAGAAGTAAGTTGCTTTAAAGTGGGATAACTAGAAAGGTATGACCATTGTCCTTCCTGAGTTGTGAAACATGAAAAAGAAGGGTGAATGTAAGTAGATTCTTCTTTTTTTTTTCTTAGATAAAATCATAAAAGACAGAACCTGATATATTCAAGTAAACAAAAGGAGAGAAACAATCAAGGACAGAGGGTGGAGATCACCCTCCCCAAAGACTGGACAATCTTTGTTTTTCAATCCTTCACAATCATTTGTAAACTATAATTATGAAAGAATTTCTTGTGGTTTGTAATCCACGAAGAAGCTAAGTACCATACATTCAAAAAGCCTGCTATTCCTTTCTCTGTAGGAGCCGAAAAAATGCTCTAACCTCACAATGCCAAAACACAAAAACTTTGCCCTTTAGAAGCGTTCCTACAAAATTTTCTAAGAAAAAATAATCAATTTAATGGAAGTAGATTCAGGCAACAGCAACGGCTATGTAACTAGACCAATGCGATAAGTAATGCAGGAAAGGCATCCGGCTTCTGCAATCTTGAACTAATCAACTGATACTCCCTTGATAAACAATATGGCCTAGATATTCAAGAGGCATCGCAAACTGGTATTTCTTAGCATATGCGATCAACTAATGCCAAAAGCTGTTGATAAATTATTGGCATGATCATGTAAAGTAGGGCTATAATTCAAAAAGACCACCACGAACACCCTTAAGAAAGGAAACCAGATATTGTTCGGGATAAAAGGTTTAAGGGGTAAACTAACGGGCATTACCAAAAATTCATAGTGACCTTCATCCCTGTATGTTTAAAACAAAAACTACATCCTCCTGTGTTCTAACAAAAACTATCTTGTGCACATGCACAAGCTTAAACCAAATTAGATGATACCCTAATTTTATATCTATCTTCAGAACAACCACCACACCATACAACTCATCTAGTAACTCCTTTGACTACAGTATGGTATATTTATTGACTCTAACTTTATTGAAAGCTCGATAATCCATACAAAACCTCCCATTTCCGTCTTTCTTTTTTATGAGAAAGAAAGGACTAGAAAAGGCATTAGTTCTTGGTTGAATCACAAAGCTCGAAGAGCATTTTCTTCATTTTTCGATCTCGTCCTTCTAAAATTGTGGATAATGTCATAATGATATGATCTAACATTGACTAGAGAAGAGTCTAATATCAACTCAAAAGCATGATCTCAACTTCTAGAGAAAGTTAACCCCACCTGGGGCATGGAATAGACCAGTAAGGGGTGAAGACTCGGTGAAATTTCCAAGAACAAGACCTGGGGAAACCACGCAAGCAACATTTCCTTCATCAATTTTTCAAACACATCCTTCTTAAATAATGAATAATGATAGGGTCTCACGTTGAGCAGAGAAAAGCTTGGGTATAAAAAAAAAAGCATGATCTTAACTTCTAGAGAGAGATAATCCCATCTGGTGCATGAAAGCAAAGCAATAAGTGGTGAGGACTTTGGTGAATGTCCCATGAATGGCACCCCAATCATGTTCTCGTCTTCAGAGCAATCTCCACAGTGTTGAGTTTCAACAAAACTAAATGGCCTTTCCTATAAATATATATATATATACTCTATTTTTAATAAGAAACCACTCTTTCATTGAGAAAAATGAAAAGGAGAACAAGAAGGGCATGCAAAAAAAAGCCAAATAAGAAGACGTCCATTACAGAAAAGGACTCCAATCCAAAAGAATGACACCTAACTGATAATTAC